AAATTATAGACATTAATTACTTCTAAACTGTGAAGTGTCCATTTGATATAGTCATTACATATAGATCAATCCTCCATAAATAATTCATAATTAGAGTCATGTAGAATCCGTTAACCTCTCTAATTACATCTTTATCCTTGAGTACCATTGATTTTCTAATGGATAGTGATTCATAAAACACATTCATGAACCAGAGCGCTCTTACTAATCCAAGTACCGAATCAACACTCAAGAGAATCATTTATCTGCTTCTTTCTCAAGAAGGAATGGATTCCGTCTCGTATAATAACATTCCCAGCTACCTATTTCATTATGTCTCCAAAATATAAAGAATAGGATTCAGGGTCTCAGAATCCGTACCGAGTAAATCAAAAGACATAAATCCATAAATAGGAGTTTGTTAAGAACTCAAGATTAAGATCATCCTATATATGACCATCGGTAGACTCAATTAGAATGCGAAATACACTCATTCAATATCTCGCCATATTAACAGTGCGGATAACACCGTTCCATTCCAAATGGGAATGACATGTATTCATAATGTTTTAATTAAAGATTCTGAATTTTAATTAAATTCATTATGAACACATAAATAATCAAGGAATTTTATTTGGTATTCATAAAATATTCATAAATATATGCACATAAAATGATGAATAAACTATTTTATTAAATAAATAATAAATATCCTTTTACATCTCATGCTTCTAGGACACTATTCCCAACAATCTTCCACTTGTCCTAAAGCAAGTCTGTCATGTCTCTAATCCCAAATCCATCTAAGTGCCGATCAAATACATTCAATGGCAATGTCTTGGTGAACTGGTCAGCAATCATGCTTCTAGGACACTATTCCCAACAATCTTCCACTTGTCCTAAAGCAAGTCTGTCATGTCTCTAATCCCAAATCCATCTAAGTGCCGATCAAATACATTCAATGGCAATGTCTTGGTGAACTGGTCAGCAAGGTTGTCCTCTGACGCGATCTTCAAAACCGCTACATCGCTTTTATCCACAATGTCTCTGATCAGGTGATATTTCCTTTCTATATGTTTCGCACTCTTATGGCTTCTAGGTTCCTTTGAATTAGCCACCACTCCACTGTTGTCACAGTAGAGCTTAATTGGCTTATCCATATCTGGAACAACTTCCAGATCAGTTAAGAACTTCCTGAGCCATGTAGCTTCTTTTGCGGCTTCACAAGCTGCAACATATTCAGCTTCCATGGTAGAGTCAGCAACACACTTTTACTTTATACTTCTCCATACCACGGCTCCTCCATTAAGAGTGAACACAGATCCAGATGTCGACCGTTGACTATCTCTATCCGATTGGAAGTCGAAATCTGTGTATCCGGTGAGAGACATATCTTCTCCGGAATATACCAACATATAGTTTCTCGTTCTCCTAAGATACTTGAGAATACACTTTACTATAACCCAATGATCTAATCCTGGGTTGGACTGGCAGCGACTGACTACTCCCACTGCATAGCAGATATCTGGTCTTGTACACAACATGGCATACATAAGGCTTCCCACAGCCGAAGCGTAGGGATACCGTCTCATATCTTCTTTCTGTTGTGGGGTCTTTGGACATTGCTCCTTAGAAAGATGAATACCATGGCTAGAA